CAAATAGACCAAAGGGTTTTGACATATAGTTGAGTTTTTAAGGTTCATGTTCAAACGAGCAGAGCCAGCAAAAACGAGCAAACAGAAAACGAGCGCTGTCGTGCCTCAGCCACGGTGGCGACCTCGGCCACGGTGACCTGGTGTTGGTGGAACTCGGGCTCGACGGTTTCGACCCATCCTTGCTTCACACCCTGTATAGATAAACTCTTCTGATCCAAACATGTCAACGTTACCACATGTGATAATCCCCAATTCTGCTGCTTTTTTCGGCCATCGCCAGTAGGTTGGAGGCCATCGCTAGTAGGTGGAGTCCGCCATCGCTAGTGTATGCCATCTACATGTTTCACATTTCTGTTGTGCGGGGTAGATGGCATGGAAGTGGCCTAAACCACAAGAGCTCATCGCGTATGCTAGGTATGGCCAGGGCGGGGGCACATTGGACACCCATGGAGAGCCTGACTTATAGTCAGAACATGGTTCAGCGTTTTTTTTGAAGAAAAGCTGAATATGCCATCTAGGTGTGGCCAGGGGGGCACATTGGAAGCTCATGGTAAGCCTGACTTATAGCCAGAACACGGTTCAGCTTTTTGTGAAGAAGAGCTGAATATGCCATCTAGGTGTGGCCAGGGGGGGCACATTGGAAACCCATGGTAAGCCTGACTTATAGTCAGAACACGGTTCAGCTTTTTGTGAAGAAGAGCTGAATAGGTGTGGCCAGGGGGGGCACATTGGAAACCCATGGTAAGCCTGACTTATAGTCAGAACACGGTCCAGCTTTTTTTGAACAAAAGCTGGCATAGGTGTGGCCAGATTCCCTGCCCCTAAGTGCATGTGCCTGTCATTAGGGTTGGCCCCATCCCGAACAATCCTTTCGTGAACACGAGCCGAACACGAGCCTGAGCGACCGAAAAAGTGTGAGTTTTATGTGTATATTCGCCAAAAATTTCCCGCCGAGATGCCCGAAGGACCGCGACCGCGGATTCAGCAGCAGAGGACCAGGGCTGATGGCTTGGCGCGGAAAAACCAAAAAAAGCACATCTGCGAAGTCCGAAGTCAGGTCACATGTCAATCAAAACTGCGCCCCCCCAACCGAACGCCGGTGCAAAACAAACAAAGTTTAAACTTATATATGTATATACCGTATATCAAATGGTTTCTTGGATGGTCCAACGCATTCCCCTTAAAACTTACTCTCAATCGCAACACATGCAAGCCGGCCGGCCCATTGAGAAGGTCCGCAAACTTAGATCTAACCAACTCGACCTAAAATCACCTCCCCCCAAGAAAATCCGCCCTGCCCACCACTTCACCCCCTTCCTGAAATACAGTCCCCAGTTAGCCCTCATCACCAGCCCACAACGACCCCAGATGTTTGCTTTTGTGCCGGGCCACCGAAAAAGTGTGAGTTTTATGTGTATATTCGCCAAAAATTTCCCGCCGAGATGCCCGGTGGAGAGGCCCTTCCAACGCGGCCGCGGATTGAGCAGCACGCCTCGATCAATGTTGCTGCGGCTGTACCCGTGGCAGTTATCTCCGATGAAGGAATTGTAGCTCAAAGGCCTTTTGCTGGGATCACACTCCTGGACCCCCCTCTACGACCCAGAAGCTCGACGGCCGTAGGGGTGCAGAACCACTGGGTGGGTGGTTCGACCATGGCGGAGAAAGCATCGTGTTGGACGGGGTCCATGGAATCCGCTGTCTCACGTGCAATGGCGGCGTGAACAATCCTTTCGTGAACACGAGCCGAACACGAGCCTGAGCGACTAACTAGCGGGGCAAACCCTAATGACAGGTACATACACTTAAGACGTATTTCTCCCAATCCCTCCCAGCTAACACCGGTCCCTTATGATGGGATTTTGCCGGTGCGCTGGGCGCGCCACCAGCAGCCAACCTCTGCTTGGATGTGTATCTTGATGTCTCCCGATGGCGTTTTCATGCGCCACCCCTAGCACCGGTGGTCGGGGGGGCCGGTCACCTGGGGACCCTGGTTGACCACTAAAGATGAACAGAATCAACTGGGTTTAGGACTGGTTTTGACCCCCTGCCGTATCCATATTTTGGAGGTTTCTTTGGACCCGGGGGCTGCAATGGATGCAATGGACCTGGGGCTGAAGATTGGGACGAATGCTGTGTTCAGGACGGCGGACATGACCAACGCCACAAACGCATGGACAACGCGACGCATGACTGTCGTGGACCCGAGCCACGGAACTGCCAACGGATCGGCAGACCTCCAAGTCGCAGTGCTTTCACCGTGGTACTGTGGTGCCTCCTGCGCGCTTTACACATTGGGCTCCATGTGGTGAGTGGGCGGCGGTTTGGCCAGGCAAAGAGAAACACGGTGAGCGACAAGGGGATTGGAAGGTGACTTGTGCTGTATGCTGTTTGAGGTTTGAGGTTTTTCGGGTTCCACTTCCGAAGGTCATTAACTTGAATGCCAAGCTGGCCTAAGAAGTTCAGGCCGCCCGTTTTCGTTGGCTTGTGAACTTCTGAAGCCCATTTAGGTTTTTAGCAGGCACATCACGTGAACGCCAATGTGCAGATGTTGTGGCAGGCGCAGTGCTTTGTTGACGGCATCATGCACAGAGAAACCTGGCACTTGGCACTGGGTTTTCTTGTGGCACCGCGCATGTCTCGCGGTTCGGCACGTGCTCCGGAGCGGTTCGGCACGGTTTCCTGAAACCGCCCGGGATCCGTTGCTGGTCGTTGGACGCCGGCGTTTCGCATTTCGACGGACTTGAGGATGAGGATGGAGTAGCGAAAGACCAGGTGAAGAAGTGGATCCAACAAAAACCTTTCACATTCCACCCCACCTTGGCCATGACCTTCCATTTCGAGCAGATGGGGCACACGCTTCACCTTGTGAGGTCCCGCCCGTTCCGCCCCATCCAAGCATCCACGTGGACACCTTGCACATCGGCTGGAACCTTCCGCAGATAGGCGTCATTCTCGGCCACGGGCGACACCTGGCAACCGCTTTCAGCGAGGAGGAGAGGAGCCAGAGGGGGATCTACTCTGCATCAAACCTGTGGCCACTCGACAGTTTCGACATCAATAAATCATTGATTGAGGCCACCCTGCATGGTCAATATATATTGCTATCATGGCCACTCGACATACCTTGTTGCAGGCCATCGCAGCCCCTTAGGTTGGATTCTTCTGATCTACCCATCATCTGCCCATGATCTGCGCAGGACGGTGCTTTTCAACTGGTAATCAAGAGGCCGTGCCAGGTGTGAACACCTTCCAGCTGCCTCGAATCTGACGTCCAAATCGGACACCCCAGGTGACGTCCCACCCGCACGCGACGGTTCTAGTCCAGCGAACCCGTCTCTGCCATCCAGCCCGCGAACCCCCACGGATTCTCATGGTGTTTGCGGTGACCCCCGTGGGGTCAGCGCTTGGGGCCGACAAACACTTCCGAAACCAGGAGGGGTTTCACTCCTCGGACGGAAAAACTGAACATCGAGGGGGGTTCCTCCCAGGAACAACCGGCGCCCTCCCAACCCAAAACAGAGAGGGCGTTCCGAAGAGAAACCAGCCCTTGACCCCTTGACCTTCAGTTCAGGCACCGAAGAGTGACATGCATGTCTCCACCGAGTTCCGTGAGGTTTTTTTTGCCTCCACGAGGTCCTTCCGCTCGTAGAGCTGGAAGTTCGCCTGGTGCCGTCGCTCGCAAAGGCCGCTGGTCATGCAGAAGCACCGCTGGCCATCGCCGAAGATCGTCCCAGCACAGCCCTGGCGCGCGCGCCGCGTGGTGGAACGGCATTGGGCCCAGGGTGGGTGGAGCGTATGCCAGGTGCGTGCGTAGACGCTGAACGTTGTGAGGGGGGTGCTGAGGCGTTGCTTCTGCTTCTCTTATGCCTCTTCAGTATGCGTAGTCTTTGGATACTCGATCTGATCTTACGCGATGTTTGGGATGCACAACCAGGGTCGGCCAGCACGACCGATACGGCAACGACCAGGGTCGTTGGGCCAAGCTGGAGCAAGGACCTCTGGTTGAGCAAAATCTGGAAGGACTCAAGGGCTTCAAACGGAGGCTTTTGGTTTCGAGCTGGAACGAGACGTTTCTGTTGAGACTATTGAAACCAAGCAAACCTTCGGCTCACTCCAGGGGCTTTCACAGCTCTTTCCGCAGCAGTCACACAACTCCAGTGTGATGTTCGGTCGAGTTTGGAGAAGACGAGCGTTTTGGGCGTTTTGTGGCACGTCCGGAAGAAAAGGGTACCAGCAGGAGCGTCCTGGTCTATGACATGAAAAACACGACATTGAAATCTCCATTGGACACGGCCAACCTTGAATAGGTACAGGAAAAGTATTGCTTTGAACAATTGCATCAAACATTTCTCAGCCCTCCAGAAGACTCACAGGCTGATTCCGATCGGAAGGAGATTCCGTTCCCGTGAAGAACCAACCTGGACCCTCCAAACCCAAAGAAGGATCTTCCTATTTCAAGGCACACATCGGCGTTCCTTCACAAGATCTGGGCCATTCTGGGCCATGCTGCTGCTCAAATTGGAGTGATCGCCGAGGCCAAAGATCTTGTGCCCTTGTCATCTCCCCAAAACGAGCTCCGCAAAAAGAGCTCCACATCCCATTGCCCGGTCAGCTGGTTGTAGGTGATAGTACTCATGACTAATGAGTTCGCTGCCCTGTCAACTGGACGTGTTTTTTCCGCCTCGCTGGCGGCCAGCTTCTGACACTGCAAGATGCCGGCCTCGCCCAAATCCTGGAGATGGCGGAGCTGGAAGATCGTTGTTGGTGAGTTGGCCAAAGGTCAACCGGATCTGACAGCTTTATGAAACAGAATCTCACAACAATTCTAGGCCCCAAATAAGCCTTTCTCGGATCAAAGCAAAGCATCACCACAACTCAACTAGTAGTAGGGGGGTTATTCATGGAACAGGGAGGAGTCATATTATCAAGTTGGCTCATATTATAAGGGTTTGTAGATGGCTCCCAACATTGTCAGGAAGGGCACTCTCTATTCATCTGACACAAAGGCCCACTGCAAGTGCTAAGACCAAATCAAAGAAAAGCAGCGGTACTAGGTATGTTCAGCTTATTTCGAACATCTTATTTATATACTTTATAGACCTCTTCAAACAGTTCCACAGTATACCTCTTATAAGATGACCTCTACTTCGGTTTTCCCATCCCCTTCCAGGTGCCCCGAAATCCACACCTTGACAGAGCTGCTGTTCACGCAGCCCGTGTCTTGCGCCACCAGAATCCATTCCTCGCCCGAGCGCCCGGTCCGGCGGAGGGCGATCCCCATGGATGCCGGTGGACGAAGAGGTGGACACGAAGGAAGCCACGGTGGGTGACCCTATAGCGCCTATAGTTCTTGGAAGCCACGGGTAGGTGGTAGCTGGATCTAGAACAAGTGATGTAGAGAGGAACGCTTTGGAGCGGTGTGTTTTGGTAAGTTCGAGCACCAGGTGCCTTGCACAGCATGCCCAGACGCCAAACAGACTACTACGGGTCTCCTGTTGGTCCACAAAGCATGAAACAACCGAGAACTCATTCGACTTCACCTTCACCTGTTTTTTTCACAAGCTTGAACAGCCTTCGAACCTCCGCTGACAGTCCTTGAACCTCCACTGACAGTCCTCAACAGCACCGCGGGTGGACTGACCACTGCAGGTCCCGCGCCCAGACACCCCACGTCGTGTCCCGCACGAAGTCGCGTGAGTCCAACGGTCCCGCGTCCTCAGAAGGAGTCCAACCCAAGCCCGGGCAGAAGTGCTGAATATACCTGAGTTAGTCAGAGTTCCAACCAACACACTGATTATTTTTTTTGGCGCAGAACACATGACAGACAGGCTCACGCACATCGTGCGTGCATTGAACATCGAATGGGAAACAAATACAAAGAAAAAGGAACGCGTGCATAAACCCGAGATATTGGAAGAGACCTTCTCTGAACGAGTGGTTCCGCCCCACAACACATTTGGGTTCCCCAAGACGGTATCAAGTGGCAAGCACCTCAGACAGCCCAATCATGGGGGGAATCTTTGCCACTTCAACAGGCCGGCGATTGAGGCAAAAAACATTTTAAGACAAACGAAATGGCTCGTATGCAACTGTTTGACTGAAACCATGTAACTGTTTTGTTGCAAAGAATGGTTCTCGAGCAACAAATATGCAACTGTTTGACTCCGATGCTCACCACCGAGACGCCACCCGCTGTCGCTGGTCTCAAGGTCGCCATATATGTGGATGGGTTTGAGTGGCAAACCCAACAGCAGCACCCAACGGGTCCGGATTTCCTTCTTAGTCTTTTCGTTTTTAAAGAACACATCCTTCATGGCTTTTTGTTTTTAAACAACATGGCCAAAGAAATGGATCTCACATGATCCCATTCAACCCTTCATCTCTGCCAGCCGCCTCGTATCTCCAGACTCCAGACCCTCCGTCCTCCCCCCTCCGAACGCAATCGCTCGCTCGACTTCGCTCCATCTCTGGCACTCTCCCGCAATGGCGATCGAGAAGTCGCGATACACGTTGCCATCGGTCAGCGGAAACCTGGCGGCGCTCGACGGCGCGCCTCACTGCGCTCGACTGATGGCACGGCACGGCTGAGGAAGAGGACCCATTTGGAGGTGCACCACCCCATTTCGGGTGGCTCTTCGATGGAACATGCTTTTTTGCGGGGAAGCTTATAAACCACCCTTTGGGTGGTGCTGGTGTGGGTAAATACAAAACTCCTGTGTCGGACTCCCCATCCTTCAAATGGGCGCCACTTCCGTGCGAGAAGGGAATCGCACCGACTCCGAAGTTCGCGCCTTTCTACGCCACTTCCGTGGCGAAACGGGTTGAAGCACATGGGACGAAAGACCCGGAACATCAACACATCTTCTTCCCACTGACTCTCTGAGTCAACCGGTTGTTTTTGGGTATGGAAGATTGTACTCTGGCCATGGAAGATAGGAGGTTCCGCTCCACACCGAGATCGACAGAAATGCTGTGGCCTCAAGTCAGCTCCCACTTGGTTGATTCTGCTGCTCCCTCAAGGAAAGGTATTGGAACAAATAGAACCATCGTTTCAAGAGGTTTCAAGTCTGAAAGATTTGGATTTGTGAACCTCTTAGGGTTTCACCATGTTCCCCACGTTATCCCTCAAGAGGGATTCCAAGAGAGCATCGCATCAGGTGCCCCATGGTATCCGGTCCAAACAGGTCTGGCAGACAGAACATTTCGGCCAGGTTCCTCAAGCCAACAGCCTCGAGCCAACGGCCAGAGACCAATCGAAGCTTTTCTTCTTCGGCCAGATCTCGAAACGACACAGAGACTCGAAACGCCATATGCTCTTCATGTGGAAGATAGATCGGATGATCAATATGACAGACATATGAAGACCAGTTGGAAGAAACAAACACCACCGAAACGGCAGTATTACAGTATGAAGACAAAAATCATTTGAAAGGGGGCCAAGAACACCCGACCACATCATGTGCTGCGCTCCCGGAGGTGACACCTCCATGGTTGGACCTGGTGAGGTGAGCCCAAGACTCCCCGTCCGATCTGTTGCCTATAGTGCCTTGCTCCACGTTTTTCTTGCAACAGTTTGGACCAAAGCGGAGGCTCCGCTTTCTTAGCGGAGGTGCAGTCCTGGGATCAGTTTTGGAACACCGCTCGCCACCGCTTGCCTTGTCCAAGGAGATACTGCCAGTAGCGGCAGTTGAGGCTGGAGTAGCAGGAGGCACGACAGCCCTCCACCCCCACGGAGCGTGGATTGCCGATCAAGTCCTCCTCTTTAAAGACCTCCCGCGCGGGCCGGTCAGACGGTTCACCGCGGAAGAATGGGTGCAATCCAGTCTGATTCCAACCACGGTATTTTGGCTTGACGGACATCTTGTTGGACTTAAAACCAAATCAGGTCGGACACCATTCATTCTATTTTCCAAAGAAGGCCTGGCGACTCGTTCGTGGCACGCGAAGCCTGCCATCCACCCAGGCTTTTCGAACGATTTCAGTCTGTCCTCCGGTCCGTTCGGTCTGTCCCGAGTCGTCGTCCCGCCTTGGTGAGTCCTAAGACTCGGCTTTGTCGAAGATCCACCAGAACACGCACCTCCCCGTGCAGCAAACGCCCTGCGCGGATGGGTCTCCTGACGTCAAGGCGAGGCTTCGACGCAAACAGACTCTGCGCTGTTTGCAGAGCTGGGATCATCTGTTCGCCTCTTTGTTTTGGACAGACGGTCTCCTATAAAAGAGATCAACCAAAACACCATTTCCAGTAGCCAGGTCTCCTCTTCGTCCTCCTCTCCTCCGCTCCTTTCTCCCCGAAAAACGGTCTCCTGGGCGACTTGCTGAAGCAATTGAAGCCGGCGGTGGACCGACCTCACGGAACCAGCTGCCGACCGAGCGAAAGGCGGAGGCACGCGGACGGAGCGCGGACGGAGCGCGGAACCGCGGTGGAGATCTGGGGGGCAACCGACCGTTGGGGACCCCCCCAAAAACACGGGTGGACCAACCAAAGAAGGGTAGATCAAAAGGATGGATGGCGCTTGCGCAAGCGCCCCCCCCCAAGTACTTGGACTGCCATCTGTCGTTTCCTTCTTGGCTCTTCTGGGGTCTCCCTAAACCCACTGGATCGATGTCCCCAAGAAAAATGATGTCTGGAGGTGTCCGGAGGTGTCGCCAGACTTGAACGCACTTTTTAACTTTTTCGACACGCCACACCAGTGGAACGCCAGGAACGTTCATCACCAACTTCGCCGTCGACGGTCTTCGATCCCCAAGTTCGACATGACGTTGGTTCGATCTAGTGGAGTCTATGGATCCCCAATGGTGTTCTGTTCATAGACATGGTTGTCATATATGTTTTCTTAGACCCCCAAGTCATGGGTCAAGACACGACCTGCGGGTCTTTGTTGTGTTTTCCTTCTTTTCGGTGGGGTCTACAGACCGCTTGTCGTTCACGCTAAGGAGGCTCCGTTTGCAAACGACATCTGCAATTCATATCCTGGATATCCTTCGACTTGCACTTCTCCAACGCCTAAGGCAGCTAAGATTGAGGTTCCAACAATTGTGACTTGTTCAGTTTCTGGGTTCCGTGGGTGACAAATCCAAGCGAGGACCTCGAGCCCATCATGAGAGGGAATCTTCACAGCTACAGTGGTGTTCTCCGAACCTTTTGAATGAATGAAATGACATCTGGTGAAAACGGCTTGTTCATTCTCCCAATCTCCATGGCTTCAGTTTGTTCATCAAAGCCAACGTTGGCCTTTGATTGTGACTGTTGAAGGTCGGCACAGCTGTATCGGCGCTCCGTCATGCAACGCCATGAGGGAGGACACCTGCTTTCTGCACATCCAACGACTCACAGAGTTGTTCGGAAATTTGCGTTCTACTGTACTTGCTTTCCAAGCTCCTCAACGGCCTTGCGAAAAAAACGAAGTGCTTCAACTGTTCAACGCGCTCGCTCTCCCGGGCGGTCCCGGCCGAGGAAACAGCCGGTGGCATTCTCCACGTAGATGGAGCAAAGGGGCTGCTTCCCGCAGTGCGAGTGGCACGTCTCGTAAAGCGGCACCTCGGAAGAACGACACGGCGCGCGCGACATGGTCGACATGGGCGTGTGGTTTGGTGATTTTTCTGGGTGTCCGCGACATCTAGGTGCAGTTGACGGAAGGATTTTCTGTTGAGACCCTTATGAAGACCCATTTGCACATGAAAAAGACGATGTCTGCGGGGCAGATCTTTAGCTCCGCTGCCGTTGGTTCCAGCGACATCCGATGCTCCGATGCCGTTTCGGAGGGCCGGACTGACCGGTGACGTTGGATCCTTTCAGATCTTTTACGAGCTTTCCAGAACGAAGATGGGGGGAAGCTGAAAGCTGTCCTTTGTGCTGTCCTGAGGTGCAGTCCTGAGCTCCAGTCCTTCCAAGGAAGTCCAGAACCGGAGTTCTTCTTCACTTGACAGTGGGGGTTCTTGACAGTGGGGGTCCCAACATTTGTGATTGGAATCTGAACATCCAAACAACTGACACATGCTTGCTTGATCTACTTTCTTTTCTTCTGACTGGGTAAACCCTGCCCGACAAGCCGTTTCGAAGAGTGAATCAAAGCACAAGCCACGTTCTAAACCCCTCCTGATGGTAGTTGCAACCCTACTCATAGGTGGATGTGACCTAGTCAAGGCCCGATGGAATTGCAAGCATGAGCTTGAGCTTGTTTGGGCGAGTGAGCATCACAATCCACCTGGGAAACATTGAATTGAACATCACACTTCACGCTGCTGGGGGGGGTTCAAGCTTTTAACCACACAGGCCTCGAAAACACTCGCCACATGAACGCTCCTCTCCTTCTTGGGAAGACTCGCCACGGGTCTCCCAACGGGGGTTAGGACCAGGTTGTCGCAGTTGAAGGCCCCATCGCCGGGGCTTTGGAGGACCTGCGGAGGGCTCGTGAACGAAGGATCAGGCGCGAGAGATCGCGTCGACCATGCGGAAGTCGCGTCGACCATCTGGAAGTTCGAAGACCTGGTGGAAGACCCGAAGTTCCACTGGGCGCGCTGTACCTAACGGGGTGCCCTGGACAGGTCTCGACCTGTAAGTCGTCGTGTGGATATATTCAGCCAGGTGATCCAGCCAGGTGTCATCGTTCACGGAAGCAGCTGGTAGCTTTGCTTCGTTCGAATCACAAACGAACCAGTGACCCCGAACGGCCCCTGCCCGGTCCCGGAGGTCCCGGACGATCGTCGCGCTCGGAGGTTCCGGACGACCGGGTTTCAGCCATTCCCCGCGAAGTGCTCCGGACTCGGGTCCGTGGGACGCCTAAACCCGAAACTCTTGATTGATAGACCCACCCACTTGATTTGGAACTCCTCTTCAGATCGGGAGACTCCCAGCATGAAGAGTCGACGCAAGGACGTTGCCAGCATGCCCTGGCTGGGAAGCAACGCTGGTCTCTGGATGCTTGGCGACCGTTTTTTAATCACCCTAAGGATCCTTGCACCCTCCTTAGAAGGGGTCGAACCCTCTATAACAAGGGTTTGTACATGTTTGTACCCTCAAAACCCTTGTTTTTGAGGCAGGGCAGATATAAAACCTCGGCATCTCACCTCGGTGGTGGAAAACGACGATGGGTGGGGAGGTTTGGTGCAAACATCTCAGTAAGCCGATCAAACGTAGAAGAGCAGGTCCCGCCCCTTTTCAAGCCATGCCCAACTTCGCCATTGAAACGCCTATCCTGACACATCAAACGCCTCTCCTCGCCTGCTGTTTCTCGCACCTTTCCAGAAGACGACCTCAGCAGCTTCCAATTCAACAATCCTCGCGGGTTTTTCCACCTTCTTTTGGTGAGCCTGCAAGAAAACAACGTGAAGTACTCGGCCGAGTTGAGTCCAAAAATCTCAAGAAGCTCCCGCCTTTGGACCAAACCCGAACCCATCGGCGAAAAGGAACATGTACCGAGCCGTCCCCAGCCCGCGTCTTGACTTTGACCCAACTCCGTCGTTTCACGGGCTCTTAAGACTCACTCGTGACTTTGCTCGCTCTTCACCGCGAACTCTTCGCAGGGTGGCAGGTGCCACATTGACCACCCAACCGAGGAGTCGGTTCGCTTGACCCGTTTCACCACCGATGGACCACCGAGGTTCGTCTTCGTGCGGTTTCGTGCGACGGCGAGTCGGGGCCAGCAGTCGACGTCGACGGAGCAACGGGAGGCAGCGAAGCAGCGAGCAACGAAGCAGCGCCACTGCTGACCTTTTCAGGTTGTTCAAAGATCTTGGCTCTTCCTTTCAATGTCTTTCCCCTGTGTTGACCACGTGACAACGAACACAAAAGGCAGAGTGAAACACATCCTCTGGAACAAACTCCAAGTAGGGTGTGCCTGGGCCTTGTCCTCCGTGTATTCCTGGTGTGCTGGTGACCTGTTTTCAACTCACGAACTGAACAAAATCTGAGACAGTGGGAACAATCATCCCAAGTAAAGGTCGAACATAACCATATCCGAAACCACATCCATCCATCCTCGTCTCCATCGCCCTGACAGGAAAGGACGCCGAAAAGGCTTCCGGTTGACCAGCAGCTGGTTGACCTGGTGTAACTGTAAGCATCCAGGTGAAAAACATGGCTTGGAAGCCTAGGGGAAGTGTTTAGTTTGTATCCCAAGCACCTCTTCATGAGAAGTCAATCGTTGGCACTGCGAAACGAACGAACCCCCAAAAAACCAATCGGCAGTGACGGAGGACCCGCTGGCCAAGTGACCCGCTTGCGGCCAACACTCCATGGGGAAGGGCACCCATCCCGAGGGCCACGCCTGCGGATGGGACTCAGCACCTACCTAGCGCTGTACCTAACGGGGTGCCCTGGACAGGGAGACCTGAAAGTCATCGTGTGGAGATGTCCAGCCAGGTGTTGTTCACGGAAGCAGCTGGTATAGAGATGAATGATGAATGGAAGTCGACCTTGTTCTCTTGAAGATTTCTGGGCGATTTTGGACGTTCTCTTGCCTCCCTTTTCCAAACATAGAGCCCTTGGAGCTGTCGATACGTAGCTGTCCAAAGAGTGGAGTCTTTGATAGTCATTTTTGCTTTGCAAGAACGGATGACCTCCGGTGGACCGGAAGGCAAACATGTTCGCGCCGACGGTAACGCGGGTTTTCCTGGCCATGTTGTCTGCCACCCCACTTTCTGCTTCACACAAAAGTGGTAAAGTCATCTGAAGGATGTCGTCTTCTCTATGTTTCTGCGGTGAACCTTTCAGATAAGTCCTTCCCTTTGAGAATATCTTGCATGTGCAAAGCCCTCGAACCTCCCCATCATGAGCGCCCCCCAATAACCTCGTATCGGACTCTCTTCTGGTGGCGGTCCAGTGGGAAACACCGTATGCTGGTCAGTGATGTCCGTACTTGGGAAGAATACAGGGGGTCGGTTTGGTACTATTGATCTATTGTTGGTACACTCGGGGGTATCCCCTCTATTAAATCAATCAGCCAATAGTAAAAGGCCATCTATGATCCTGGTATCCTGGTATCCAAAATACTTTGTCCACGCACCTAGAGATCAGCATCTTAATCTTTCACTGCTGTGTCATCTTCGATACCATGTGTATGACCCACACAGAAACTTCCTTGCTGAAACCTGATTGACACCTGCGAAACATGTCAAGTATAGAAGGAAGCCATCCAAAGAACCGCCCACCGCAACAGGAAACCGCCCCAAAAAGAGAACACCAGCTTTTCGTCCCTTTCCTGCTCCTTTCCTTCGACTTGGTGTTGACCCGCGCCTGCGCCGAAGCGATGGGCGTCATGCCGGGGAAGCGGGCCGAAGGCCTGGCCGATGGTGCTGCGAATCCAACGTGAGCGGTCCGCGGATGGTGCTCAACTGTGGAGGTCGTGGAATCGGATTGGTGGATTGGTCCATCCGCCTCGCTCAAGCCGCCAAAGGGCGCGATCCGGACGGGTCCGATCCTGTTCCGGAAGACGTGCTTTCACTAAAAAGAAAACACCCTTTGCTTCGCGTGTTCTTTTCAGTTTCGATGCGGAACACACCTGACGGCCGTCGAGACAGAACCGCTCGTGCGCCATCTCAAGTGAGGACACCGGTGCACACGGCTTCAAAAACACCGTGCCGCGCCGCGACGCCCGCGGCGGCGCCTCTCGCGACAACTCGCCAAGACTTCGGTGCAGTGCTTCGGCCCCGCAGTGGCATAGAGGTCCTGGGCGCGGTCGGAGGTCGGAACGACCCCCACGACTTGCGGTGACGAGGTCGTCTGAGTTTCTTCTCGTTGCCTTTGGTGTGTTCCTGCCAGCGATAGGCAAGGTCAGGTAGTTAGTGATTTGGTCCCGTAGTAACAAACAAAAGGGTGAAAGACACTTAGAAATCACAGTTAGCTCTCTTCTGAGAACAGGTGCTATACCAAAAACATCTCTACCTTTGCAACATAACTATGTTGGTTGTAGTAGCTCTTGGAGATATCTTGAACTTTTGGGTTGTTTTCTTTTTCGAAAGCGGACTAACACCTTCTAGCCCCCCACAGCCCACAGATTTTATCCAAAGGAAACGACGACCGGGGACAGAATCTGTGCGACGGAATCCAGCGGGCGCCGGTGCCACGAAGTGGATTAAAACCAAAGACCTTGGCTCACCTACCGGCGATACTCAATCTATGGACTGCGGCTCCAGGTTGTAAGACCCACTTCCACAGGCAATATGAAAGAAACAACTTGAACCGTATTGAACCTCGGCAGGACACGTACCCGTTTTCTTAATGGTCCACCTCGATCGATCCTAGGAAATCCATGGCGTCCTATTGCTTCGGTCGGTCCCCACATAAACTAACCGTGCCCGTTCAAGGTTTGACGGGGATTGTTCAGGTGACACCCATGCTTTTGGATTGAACCGCTTGAACACTTGGCGCATCTCCAAGAATTCGGGAGGCCTTACCTAGCTGGTGTCTATGTTCCTTTTCCACTGGTATTTTGTGGGTTCCCTTCTTTTAATTTGAGATACATCCCACCTGAGAAAATGGAGGAACCTGGTTCCGCAGAGCACCCCGCCTGCACCATGTACGCACCCTCGCCGGAGAGGACGCAATGCCCGGAACCCCACCAAGAGATATACCTCGCATCAAACCGTGATCTGCAGTGGGCACGGTCCAAAAATTTATGTTGAAGGTCGCACATTGGGGCTGTATTTGAACGATTTCCCCCCAGGTGGACAGTTGAGAAGAACAACAAAAACAATCCGTATTATTGAACATGGGTAACATGTGAGATTTAACATTTTGAACAAATACGATGATTTCTCTCATCATATACAGCAGCATTTGCGATTGGGTTGAGACTTGTTGTTGAGGCTCCAATGCATGTCCAAGATCTGCGAAAAAAACATGACAAACTCAGTGTTTTTGCATTTCCGTTGCTAGGATGTGTGCCATGGGCCATGTGGATCAACCGTTGAGAAACCTGATTGGATTAATGAGACTCACCGAAGTCAAGAAAAACTGATTTATCAAACTATTCTGTCCCTTGGCAAGTTCCTTGGTCCCGCTGGTTGGGCGTCCAACTTGGTCCGCAGTCGATCTCTGGATGAACAAACCAACAAACAGTGTATCTCAAGAGGGTCAAAAAATTATATCATTGCTGACACGCTACACGTTATGCTCTCAAAACCCCGTTGCTAGCAGTTTTGAAGTGAACGGTCCGACTTGATCGAACGGTTTTTCCTTTTCAGATCCAGTTCCGGGACCATTGCAGAAGGTTGTAAATAATTGTATTATACTTGTATGTGATTGACACTTTCCAATCTCTGAGGGCATTTGTCGAGTATCTCTTTGCTTGAACGCGCGCCCACAAAAAACCGCCAACGCCACAGGCCTTGATCTCCTGTACCTGAGCCCTCTCATTTAAAGCATGCTTCCGGCTTGAAGAGAGTATCCGTGGTGCCTACACCTCAATTGTCGTTTGTTAGTTTCTTGTTGCTGCGCTGTGCCAGTGTGGATAATTTCCCAATAAGAGTTAACAGTTCCGAACAGTTTGTGCGTACGTCCTATATAAATTCCAGAAGAGTTGCATTCATTGAAAGACTTGCTGAAACGTTTGAAGTTATCAAGTGAGGTTGCCGGTGCTCTTGATCACTTTTTGATTTATCACCATCAAAAAATCAGTCTTGTCTAGATACTCAATCTGAGAAGACTGCGGTCTACATGTTGGGCTGTTGGGGAAAATCTTAATAGTGTTGGGAAAACTTTACAAATGGTTGAAACTCCTGAATTTAACACTTCAAGACTTGAACTTCTTGAGCGTTTTGTAGATCCTTCAATTGTCCGCATCATTCTAAAGTTGGAACGCGGCATTCGGCCGCATCGGCCCTGCAACTCAGTGCAGCCAACTTCTCTCCAAGTTTTTCTTTCTTGGACACACCATCGCGCCTAAAACAGCCCCGTGGGATAGCTAGAATAGTTTGTGGCTTCACCTTTGCAAGGCACGTCTCCATCCTCTCTAATTAGACATCCCAAACTGTCTCAAAAACAAAGGAACAAAGGAGCAAACACACCAACCAATCAAACTAACAAAACACAAACAAACAAACGAACGAACGAACGAACCAAACGAACCAAACTAACCAACCAACCAACCAAGAAACAAAAACAAGAAAACCAACAAAAACACAAAGCAGCAAAAAACAACGAACAAAACACGCAAACAACAAGCAACAAAATCGACAAACAACCACAACAAATACAAACCAACAAGCAACCAACAACAACAACAACGACAACGACACCGAAACCCCAGGGCCCAGAAGTCAACTGAGATGATGGATGAGATGTAGCCAAATCTCATTCCCTCCCAGTCCCTCCCGGCTAACAGGTCCCTCACGATGGGATTTTGCCGGTGCGCTGGGCACGCCACTCGACCTGTATCGCACCTTCACCGGGTCTTTGCTGCGCCTC